TCTCTCCTGTGTGTGTGTGTGTGTGTGTGTGTGTGTGTGTGAGAGAGAGAGAGAGAGAGAGAGATAGAGAGAGAGAATAGAGGACTCTAAGAGGGAGTGAAAGAGTGTGAAGGAATGCATGTGACATGGAGCAGAAAGCGGAGGAGTGTTGACTGGAGGAACCCTGAATGGGCGGGGTGGCTGAGGGACAAGCAGAACATTGGGGCGGCAGCACACTGGAAGGAACTATAATGGCACCTGTATATGAAAATGCCATAAGGACATCCGTTACAACCTACGCTAACTGGAGAAGGAACTCTGAAATGAAGTGATTAGATTTGCTATCCGAATGCAACAGAAGTCAGGCAATGGCGTCTGGCTGCAGGAACGCTCGTGTCCAGATGAGCCTGCCCTGCTCGGGAGCATTAAACCACTTGTCCCTTTGTAAGTCACAGTGGATCTGTTCTGACCTGGCTCCTTCCCTCCTGCCTTGTTAACTCACCCTTCGGGGTCAGCTCAGAGGGCTCCATGCTCTCTAGCCTTTAGTCAGGGTGACAGAGTGGCTGATACAAATAACTTCAAAGGAGGGAAGATTCGGTCTGTCACAGGGCGAGGGTTCAGTCTGTGCTCACTTGGCCCTATGTGCTTGGTCAGAACATCATGGAAGTGGGACAGTGACATGCAAGAACTAGAGAGGAGTGTGTGTGTGGGTGTAAATTAAAGCCCTCAGGGACATGCCCAGTGACCCCCTTCCTCCATCTAGGCTTCAGCCACCTTTCTCCAGCTCTTAGTAATGACATCATATTATTGATCTACACTTCAATAGTCCCTTCATTAGGTTAGAGCCCTCATGACCTAGTCTTCGCAATGCCTCACAGACATGCCAGAGCTGTACTTTACTAATCTTCTAGGGGTTCTTTCCTGAAAAAAATTTCTTTTGGAGACAGGGTCTCTCTACATAGCCCTGGCCGTCCTGGACTTCACTATGTAGACCAGGCTGGCCTCACAGAGGTCTGCTTCTGCCTCCTGAGTGCTAGGATTAAAAGTGTGCAACATGCCCAGCCCTCCTAGGGGTTTCTTAGCCCATTCAAGCTGGCAACTAAAATGAACCATCTCACCTATCTCCCAAGGACACGTGACCAAACTAACACAATAGCCAACTGGTCTATAAAATGGCCTCATAGTGCTCTGTATTTCTAGCAATTACCACGATTGTATTTCTATGATTCTTATTTGTTTTATGTGCTAGGGAACAAACTCCTCATAGGCAAGGGTCACCTCTTTTGTTCGTAATTCAGTTCCCAGCTTGGTACCTGTTAGCGTTTAGCATCTGTACTGGCCAGACAGGATACAGCTTCAGCTGCAGCCACTAAGAGAGAGCACCCATGTGCACATTCACCATGCCCACCTCCTAGTCTCTGCCCTCTTCTCCGCCCTTCTCCCAGTAAACCTCCCACAGTCCTGTTGTGTGGTGTAACTCCTTCTTGCCACTTTTAAATTACAACAGTACCACCCTGCTAACCTTTGGGATATTAAATATTCTGTGGTTCTCTTCCTAACGCTGTGGTCACCCCCATCCATAAAATTATTTCATTACTACTTCATAACTGTAATGAATCGTAGTGTAAATATCTGTGTTTTCCAGTGGTCTTAGGCGACCCCGTTCCTGTGAAAGGGTTGTTCACACCCAAAGGGGTCGTGAGCCACAAGTTGAGAACCACTGTCCTAGCACTTAATACTCAAAGATTATTCAAAAAGTTTATCTTTGTTGTAACAAAAGTCCTTTTTGGTATATGCTAATATATCTATTTTCTTTTCTTTTCTTTCTTTCTTTCTTTCTTTCTTTCTTTCTTTCTTTCTTTCTTTCTTTCTTTCTTTC